AGCTGAGCTGTTTCTTGCTCGAAAAACGGAATGACCCTCTGATATCCACTTGCGTAATCGACCAAGTTCAAAGCCTTCACCTTCTGATTTGGGCGCCATCCTCTTAGATATTTGACATCCAATCCAACCACTTGGTTCACCTCAGAGACTCGGCGTGGCTGTGCAGGCAACGGAACTGACGGACGGCACTGAGTCTTGCAAAAATCGCAGGAAAAATCCTTGGCCAGCCGGAGAGCTTGTTCACTAGCCTGACCGTGCTTCAAAACACGGATGAGGTCATGGTTTGGAGGATGACCCAAGTTCTGGTGCAACTTCTTGATGATGGGCAACAGCTCCTCATCGGACTTTTCGGACAGGCTGGCTACGGCAAGCACTGATTCCCACTGCTCAGGCGGAACCGTGTCATCTACAACTACCATCACTTCGGATGGACGTGCATCGCGGTATGCGGGAACTGTTTGCAGCACTGCCTCAACGAACTCTGGAGGATACTGACCTGCATATTGGCTCACTGAGGTTATACCCGGCCAGCTACCGGCCACTACATCATGTTTTGAGTGTTCACCTGAACCTGGACACAACTTAGACAGGCTTTGCATATCCTCATGAGTCACAAGGAGACGGGTGCTCTTCCGAATGCAATTCTCACTGCCCGGGAGTCTGAGGCCGTACCTACACATGTGCAGTTTACACGTGAAAAACTGACGGCACAGCGATTGCATTTCAGGATACGTCCATGTCTTGGCGCCTGTGGGATGCTCAAACACTGCTCGCTTACCCCTAGATGCTTGTGCTCTAAACAATTTGCAACACCACCTGATATAGCTACGGCTCCTAGCGACCCTTCTGAGATACTCCATACGATCCCACCGGGTACTGTTTAGATGAAACCATCCGCCTTCATCGGTGCATGGAGGAGATAAGACCAGCAGTTCAGGTGGCGACTTCTCCAGAGCATCTTCCACGCGTTTCCTGTCGGCAGCGGTTGACAGATCATATCTAGTTTTGAGATCATATGAAAAACCCTTCATGCCGATCGCTTCAGCTGACGGAGCAAACCTGGGAGGAGAAAACACCTCTTGGACCAAACATGGATTCACCTTCACCTGAGACAACAACGCTTCATGGCAAGACTTGACTTGAGACGATAACTGGCGACTCTGTTTCACTGTTGGTCTCCAAGATGTGTCAACCATGCTTGTAGCATCATGAGACTCAATCCGTGGGTCAAGATGAAAAAACTTGGTGATGACGCATCCGGAGTTTGTGGGCAGCGGCTGTAGGGTAGCTCGCTGGTTGGCATGGTTAAGGAAATCATGTGAGGCTAAAACCCTTTTGGTTATCCCATCAATTACTACCCGCTTAGTGACAGTGGACCAGGCTGGACCATCCCTGGACACCCATGGAATACTCTGACTCCCACAGTCGTCCTGGACCCAGCAAGATGGCGTGGCTGCAGAGTGAGGTACAGCACTCAGGGCAAAGGAATCACTAGGCTCCTCCAAAGGCGCACTCACATCACAGGAATCCATTACCTGCTCAGAGACGTTCTCGGTGTCTTTGTCCCTGACCTCGGTGAGCATCACCTCGGAAAACCCCGACACTTGCTGCTCCTCGGCCACATTCCGATCCATCAAATTGATCACATACTGTCCTGCGCTGTTGCACTTCAAAGGAATGGAGACTCCATCAAAAATTTGAAGTCGGTCATGTTGGAAATCCAGCGACGCCTTCAGCGCCTTCAGGGCAGAGCGACTGATGAGCAGAGGAGCTGCTCCATTCACCACGGCAGCCCGAATCACTCCACGCTTCCCGGCAATCCAAACAGGCAGACAAATGGAATGAGTTGACGTTTCAACCTGACCATTTCCAAATCGAAATTGATGAGTCTCGTTGACAAGAGGCGGCATGATCACTCCTTGCTGTTCCCAAAGTTGTTGGAATTCTTCCAGAGTGTCACGGCCAATAATGGTGCGGCCACATCCACTGTCCAGAACCCCAAAGCCAGGGCTGGAGATCAACATCACTTCTGCACATTCAGCGAGCGTAGGCACACATGCCCGCTTCTGTCGCAGTTGTTCGATCATTGTCAGTTGCATCTCGGCCATTGCCACAAAATCTGGCTCATCTTGCACGACAGCGGCCCCAGACGTCGAAGTCGGTGTTGTCGACTTGCCAGAACCCTTGGAGACGGGAGCCTTGCACTCCCTGGCCCAATGGCCTTTGCGGCCGCATCGATTGCAGGTGGTCTGCTTCTTCAACTCCTCGATCTCCACTCTGAACGACCGGCGAACATCTTTCGCCTTCTGGAATTGACGACTCTTTTGAAGCTTGTTGAGCTCCTGTCTTCGATCTTTCCAGCTAGCGGCTAAGACTTCCGCTACGTCGTCCTCGTGGAACGTGTCTTCTGTGTCATGCACTGCTGGCTCAAGGCTGTGGTCGGCCAAAAACTGGCAGACATCATCAAATTCTGCTTCATCTTCTTCGTTGGCCTCATCTTGAATACCCTGGACAGCCAACGCTTCTTCAACCAAAGCGGCACCCCGTCTGCGAATTACCAGATCTGGATAACACGACCTCAAGGCCGAGGCGATGGACTCACGTTTCAAATCGCCCCGTGAGCGAGACACCACAACGGCCCTCTGTTCATCGCTCAACATCGATCGGTTCAGCAGAATCCATCCACGAGCCTCTTCCGGAAAGGAGACACTGGTTTTCCTACTACATCTGTCAAACAGTTCAGTGGCTCGGGCTGTCCACTGCTTCATCGTCTCACCCTCTTTGGCACGAAGGGTGAAGACCTCATTCAGTGTCTCAGCCAGTTCATCAACCACTTCCAGTTTGGGAAACCGAGCGTCAAGCAGCTTCCAGATGATTTCGTCACCATCTTTCTTGTGGTAGTCTGCAAATTCCAGATGCTCCACGGCCTCATAGGCCTTTCCAGTCAGAAGTGTCATGATGAAAGCTCCTCGTGACGATTCCGCTAATTTGTCCATCGTGACCATCTTGCTCAGCACCCATGTTTTCCAGCGTCGGTACTCTTTGCCATCTTCCGACTCACCAGAAAAAGTTCGCATCGGCCCAGTCTCAGTCGTGGAACTGGTACTGGGTGTCGCCATCTGTGATGTCCCTGGACCACCACGTGGCAGCTTCGAAGAACGCCTCTTCCTAGAGGCAAGCCATCAGCGGGAGCCCGGCGCACCGGGCTCCGCTACCAATTGCGGAGGAACGACCCTTCACCTGAAGGAGCAAATGGGCTCTTTCTAGCTCGAGTGGCGTAAAGGTCCCTGCGACATGACAGCTGTTCTGTCGAACCCCAAAGCTGGAAGAGACATGTGGCATGCTTCGACATATATATATATACATATCCCATTCATCCCAGCATTTTAAGCGTTGGTTCAATGCCATCAGGATCCCTTCAAGGATCGCCGTGCGGGTCTGGCACCTGGTGAGGTGCCGGAAAACGAAGGGAAAACGAAAAGCATGGGGAGGCCCGAAGGATGATGTATACTATGTACATCACCCACACATGGACTCATGTACTGTATATGATAATTATAATACATATCATAGATATAGATATAGATATAGCTATAGATATAGTATAGACATAGATATAGACATATAGATATATAGATATAGATATAGATAATATTGATAGTATATATATATAATATACATACATACTGTATGTGATATAATCTACATGATGCATGAAAATATATAAGATGTCTTATATCATACAGTGTACGAACAAGGACTAAGGACGTATGTCGTACGCGTAATTAATTTGAACTTGATGGATCAGTGACCAAGCATTCTGGGATAGGGGCATTCAAAAGGAATGGGAATGGCAATTCAAAACATTGGGATTAGACACACTTCAACGGGTGGCACACGATTATATTTGGGGTGAACCGTGGAAAGCGGACTGACTGAAAGAAAACCACCCAAAAATTATCCAAAAATGATGTTTCAAAAAGAGAGAGCACCTGAACTCGGCCATCTTCTTATACTCGTAGCATCTTAACCATTCATTCACAGCTGCAGATTCAACCAATTGCAGGTAAACACTGATGTCGTATAAGTCTGAACTGACAGCCCCATCAGCGGCCAATGGTGTTTGACCCATCTTTTTTCAACGATGGGGCAGTTGTGGCTGTTGTGGCAGTTGCCCTTTGGATACTTGAGATACCTAGGGGAGATGAACATCCCGTTGACAGCTATTTTGGTTGTCATAATCCATGGATATCCATGGTGCAATCATGGTGCCCTTTGGCACCCATTGCAACGACAGGTTCCAGTGATGACCTACACCCAGCCTGGTATGGGAATTACGACCATTGAGGCTGGAAAGTGGCCTTCCTGGAAAGATTTGCAAAACATTGACATGAAGTGACACTTTCCAGTGACAATTGTAGACAGTATACAATATATCACTTCCTTAAGGGCTTGAATCCTGCAGATTTATGAAGTTGACAGCCATCAAGCAGCACGGCAGCGTAAATTTAATTGCGACATGGGAGGTTCCTGCGCATGCTGACAAGCAGTTCTACGATGCAATGCTCCGCCTTCTTGCGGCCGACCCGTCTCATGTTATGCTGTTCTGGCGTTTGTGATACAGAACTTGGTGCGCTGGTTGATCTTATTCCTCACACACGATTGGTTCATTTTGGTTCAAAACTGTAGTGAACATTATGGAATCACAAGACAAAGTGCAGGGCCTTGAAGTGTGATAATGGGATGTGGCCACAACCATTGAGGGTCTCGGACCATCTCGGACCTTCAGATTTACTTCCTATAGTCTTTTTGGGGGGCAAGGTCTTGATCAGTCAAGGTTTCATGAATTGACACTTTTGTTTGGGCAACTGATCTGTTAGCGGTTGGTAACGGTTGGTATATTTGGCCTTGATCATCATCCGAACAGCCAAAGAGACACCACATGACATTCCCCAAGTCTTTGAGACACGACTGGGACATAGCAAGTCGCCTCGTGCGCCATGGGCGATGGTGGAGCTGTGGGCAAAGGGAAGGACAGAAAGTGAACCGGCCACGAGGGCCCACGGTAAGAAGCACTACATTATAATGGCTTAAAGTGTGGATTCTACAAGAGTTATACATGGTTTGTGTCGACAAATGTACAGTGAGTGTCATGCCATTGTTACTCTGATGAGGACGACGACTTGGACAATGCCTACGAGTTGTTGGCTTTGGAAGATGATGCAGGGGAAAAAGAGATCAAGGCATCTCTGGTACTTCCTCGGAGAGATGAAGCAGATGATTTTGGACCATTGGAATCCATTGGACTCTGCCAGAATCAGAACATCCCAATTTGCGATGGCTAAGCAGAACAAAATATCCCAGAACATCCCAACATATATTATCCCCTTAGAATCCCCAGATTTTCCCAGATTTTCCCATCCAAATCCCCATGAAAACCTCATGGCTTCATGTCCCCAGCTCCGCAGACAGCGTATCGAAAGATCTCCTTGAAGTGCCACCCCGACAGCTGCTGGGCGCCAGATGATGTGGTCTTTTTTTGCAGTTGGCTTATCTTCCCATCAAAGGGGATGGTGACCTCATCAGAAATCGGAAATGATGGTTAGATAATGTTATATAATAGCTGTTAACAATGCTTAATAGTGTGGCTTTCTTAAGTCATGATGGATCCCCAGTCGTCACCATGGTTGTCTCAATACCAAGTCATGGTCTAATGACTTGGATGATTTGGGAATACCCGCATGACTCAGGAAACCTCCATAACCCATGCGGAAATTCGCTAAGGATTGTGGGATGACCATACCGTATCAGCTGGTCTTGTTTTGGGGTTGGCCAACTGATTTTGTCCAACTTTCTGCGTCTCCAGGTTGGATGTTTGCAATTGTCAGGATGTCCTTCTGCACGATTTGAGCCAAGGAAATCCTGACGATGAGGAGGCTGGCTAAGCCTGTCAAGTCTGTCAACTGTCGCGGACATGCCAGCATTGACCTTGCAAACTATGGAACTGTCTCGAACTTCCAATCAACGCTTGAAGAATGCACACGGCACCATGGGTCAAAGATTTGCCTAGGCAGCGGAGAAGTTCGATCGATTGACTCGGGCAAAGGAGCCTTTTCGGGGGTGAAATGTGGAATCCATGGCTGCTCTTTATGACTTGAAAAGCAAATCATTTCTTCAGATTGACAGGAACAAAGCTTCCAAGGTTTAGCAAGGCAGTATCATACAGAATCTGTATCCGAGTATCCACAGTGAAGTGCATGTGCTCAAAATCCCACAGATGCTAATCCTACAGTGCTTTCAGCAGCTGTTTCCAAAGCTTCAGCATTTCGCATCCAAGCCGCGCAGGACCTGTTGTAACTTGGCTGCATTCACGGCATCACGGCATCGCTTGGTGAAGTGTGCTTCAACTCCAGAGATCATCTTGCGGCGTAGGCAATGTCGAGCTGTTCAGGTTGGATCCCATTCGGAGATCAGAACTGGACAGGAGACACCAAGATGGGAATGCTGCCAGTGCTGCAATGTAGTGTCACTGGGTATTGAGTGGTCATGCGTGGCTATTGCTTCAGATATCAACATTATCAACTGATTTGCCAAAGTTTGCACCCCATGGGTTCGCAGGAAGAGGAAGGCCGCTCGTGATTTGGAGGAGCTTGACAGCCCTGACATTCCATGGTCATCCATGGTCTTTGTTTGCTCGACGCTATGTCCGGTTCGGAGCAGCATGGCAGCCGTAGCTCAGCACTTTCACCGCCAGGAGCGACATGCCCAGGAAGATGCCAAGCGGAGAAAGCTCCGGGAGGATTTGGAAGGTGGATTACTTGGAGGGTTTTCGCAGATCTTCTGTCAGCAATAACAACACCTCAAGTGAAGCCTTCAGCTAAACCGGTTGCTTCACCAGCTGTGAAGTGATTAAATCAGTACACCTCCAAGACAACTAAATCCCGCCCAAATTCAGGGATGGACAAGATTGGACAAGTGTTCTGTACCACTGGTTTTAGGTAGCATGGGTGTTTGTATGGTTTTGAGGTCGCGAATCAGCAGCCAATGCTCGCAGTCAAGCGTACAAGCGAGCGCAGGAGGATGCGGAGGCAGCACGTGGCAAACTGGTGGGGGATCTCCAAACAGCTATAAACAGCTCATTTTCAATCCCCACATCGAGGGAAGGAAGAACAACATAGAAAATAACTGCTGGTTTTGGTGTCCAAACGTGTTGAGTTGAGCACGGTCAGTTCCTTCCCCTGGGTGTCAAGGTGTAACGCCTTGTCGCTGTATGGCACTATATGGCACTGCAGGCGCGAAAAAAGTACCTCCAGCAGGACATGGCGCAGAGGATCAAGGCCAAGGAAGCTGAATTGGCTCAGAAGCAACAGGAGGTACCGTGGCAGAGATTGGTGGGGAAAAGATGGGAAAAGTATGGATGAGTATGGCATATCAATCAAACCTAGAGGGCGGAAGTATGGGACAAGTCGGCAACTTCGAGTGATTAGTTCATTGACCAATTCATTGATCGATCCATTGAGCAATCCATTGACCAAACTGATTCACTAAAATGTTTTACTTTAAATCTAAGTTGTATAATAATATATATATATATATAATACTATATATATATATATATACTGATATTTTTGCTATCCCAGCTATCCCCAGTCGCCACCCCAAAAGGTGGCCGCGTCGGTGGCCGAAGCCCGGGACACCGCGCTGGACTCCCGCCTTCGTGTCACGTGGCGAGGCGGACAGTTTCTTGGGAGTCACAAAACAAACTGAGCCCGTCATTTGGTGTAGGAACATCTATTCACAGTATGGTCATGCATGTTATATTATAATTATAATATAATGTATTAATTAATTAATCTATATTCAATCTATTCACAGTATGCCGATGTATGTTAATGATTGTTAATGTATCTTACTGTTATTTGATCAGAAGCTAAGAATTGGAGCACCTCAATTTGGGAACAGAACCACTCAGATCTGCAACGTTTGTTTGGAGCCATTTCGGAATGGGAACTGTGGCTTGTGGCGCAACAATGTCAATTGGAAGCTTGATTTCAGGATTTTGAGGCAGACCAGGAATCATATTCATATCAATATTGGACACTTGTCTTGATGTTTCGGTTTCTTATGGCTGCTTTGGCGAGGCGTTGCCCCAGGGGTAGAGACCATCCGGCAGGTGCTGCTGTCCCTTTCTGGGAACGATCTTGCCACCACTTGCTATATTCACTGCGTTACAAACATGTCATTGCTGCAGGAACTGGCAGAGTTTGAGCTGATTTCCATGGAAGTTGGTGAGCTCTCCTCTCAGTTGCCCTGGTGCTGAAAAAGGCTACGAAAAGTCAATCGATCCACCGCACTAGGTCAGCTGCAATCGTTCAGTTGGGCAGCCGCGAAATGGCCTTGAGGAGCGTGATTACAATGTCAGATGTCAGAAATCTGAAACAGATGAAACACATAGCAATGGATGAACTTCCCGTGCTATCATGACACACTCTGAAATAATATGATATGATCAAACAAAATCCACATGTGTGATGTCTTGTGCGGCTTGTTGATTACAGGGCTGTGTTGGAATGCAAGTCGAAGAAGAACTCCATGTCCGGCGACCCCAGCCATGGATCCATAGGATCCGTTGGACCCATAGGGGCCATCATGGGCCATCCCCAGCGTCAGCGTCCAGGCCCTTCAAAGTGGCCTTGGCGCCCAAGGAGGTCGAGGAGCCAGTGAGCCAGGCAGGTCATGGCAGGTCCAGTATGGTCCAGGAAGTCATCCGTTTTGCACATCGCTGCCCAGGTGAAGGAAACTCCAAAGAAAGGCCGGCGAAGTTGATTTGGAGCCGTTTTTGGGCACCAAAATTGGAGCACCATGGCTACATTCTAGCATTCTTTGAAGGCACTTGGACTTACGAATGATTATCAAATTATAAGGCCAGTGCGGTGGATGCTGATTTGAACGTTTTCTCATTTTTGATCGTTTTTGCTGCGCTGAGTGCCTTTGCACTTCTTGGGATTGTATGATTCCTCCTCATCTTTTTTTATATCATGTCTAACATGCATGACCTCTAATCTTCGGATGCCTTGAACTGATTTGTAGATAATTTTTGCAAATGGAAATGCTGCAAGTCAAGTGCAGATATCCACAAACCGCACGCATTCCGCAAACGAGCATGACCTCCCGAAAAGGTCAGTTTGCACTTCGTAACTCTAGCATTTTCTTCGAACATAGACTTTTCTCCAAATTAAACTTTGATCCCCACAAGCCAATAAGCTGCACATTTCTGGTTGGGCCCTAGCTCTGATGAGTTGCTATGAATTCTTGTTGTCACTTTTCTGCTTCGTGGATCACATAAAAGACACACCGACCGACACACCATGCTCTTGGGGAGGGGAAATGTCGATAATATTCTTTGTCGGTTGAAGCGGTCCATTTCCGAATATGTTCGTTTTTTTTTGCAGAACTTGCAGGCAAAATTTTAGGTATCAACTGCGGTGGGAAGAAAGTGACTCGGAGGGCCCATTCTATTGATGCCATCTTTAAGTTGGAGGATTTTTTACTGGTGGTGTGCAGGTGAACAGGAAAGTCCTGCTGAGACCTTCAATCGAGCTAAGAGCTTTGATGACTGGGAGGCGACAGTCGATACGCTGATACGCCTGAGCTGTTCTTTGAAGTGTCGGGAAGGTCGCTGTTGTTGGATGTTGTCTGCTGCTGACCATTTTGTGTTGTGGTGTTTCTTGGGTTTGCAAAGAAATCAATGCAACTGAATTCTATTTGGATGTGATTTGTCCCTCCTGGTGGGGTCGCATTTGCATCGAGTGCTGGTCAATTAGAGAACCTCTCAAATGAAGAAAGGACGATTTCCCCGCAGCGGATTTCGCATGATTTCACATTTTGTTGCCTTTTGAATTTCCAGGCGCAGATGATGGCTGATCTGCAGAACTTGGCCAAGAAACAGACGGCTGCCTGAAGGACTTCGGTTTCGATATGAGTTTGTCTGTCGGCAGAGTTGATCCCAAACAGGGCTCCGATAAAAGTCAAACATCCAGGTTCTTCTGGAATTCCCACTTGTGAGACCTGGCACATCCTGGCACCAGGACCGTTTTCGGGGCCCTTGTGCAGGGCCGAACGGCAAATGCCCGAAGTGAAAAAATGGTCCGCACTGATCCTGAGTGGGATTCAAATGAAGAGCTACCAAGAGTCATTGGACACAGAGTTGCAATGTGCTGAACAGCAACAGACATAGACATTGCATTCGATTAGCCATTTTGCAGGCTCTGATTGAGATATTGTGAGACCTTTTATTGCGATCGCAGTTCTTTTTCGCACATTTCTCCCGATGCAAGCGATCGTGGTTGGTGGCGGTTTGGCCGGCGTTTCTGCCGCCAACACTGTGTTGGAGTGCGGTGGAAAGGTCGTTTTGGTTGACAAATCCGCCTTCTGCGGTGGAAACTCAACCAAGGCCACCAGCGGCATCAACGGTGCTGAGACGCAGACGCAGAAGGCCAAGAAGGTGGAGGACTGGACGATGTCTCAGTTGGAGTTGGGAAGGGGAACCGTAGGGAACCATAAAGGATCTACAGATCATTACAGATCTTGATCATTTAAGTTATCTTGAGTATCATCCATGACTTTGATTCACTGTTCATTCATAATCACAATCATATTCATAAATTCATAATAATAATAATATCTAATAATCTCATCATATCAGATCTAGCAATCACATCTTTTGGTGAGGACTCCGTCCAGCTCTTCACCTCCGACACCTTGAAGGGTGGTGCCAAGAAGCCTGAGCTGGTGAAGGTTATTTGCTTGGGAAAATGGTTCCATGTCCCCACCAAAAATGGAGAGAAAATGCATAAAACATAGGGGGTTTACCATGGTTTACCCATGAGATTTATGGGGATTTACCCATGAAGATTTTTGGGTTTACCCATCAAACACTGTGATTCCACCTGTAGAATTTATTTATTATAGAATCCCTAACACTCTCTGCCACAGTATATGAATATTGCAAGGAAACTGCTTAACATGCAGTGAAGAAGCTTAGATGTTTCATGGAATGTCAATGATTTTCATGTATCAACTTTACCAGTCGATAAGGGTTCGAACGGACAAACTCTTCGACAGGTGCTCTGCGGAAACAGCGGCCCTGATGTGGACTGGCTGGTGGACAAGTTCGATCTTGACATGTCTCTGTTGGCCCGACTGGGTGGACATTCCGCTCCCCGCACCCACCGTGGCAAGGAGCGTTTCCCTGGAATGACCATCACCTATGCCTTGATCCAGATGGTGGAGAAGATTTCGGAGCGCAGCGACTTGGCCCGAATCATCAACAAGGCCAAGGTCAAGCAGCTCTTGACCAAGGCAGGTGCTGTTTGCGGAGTGATCTATGAGAAGAAGGGCAAGGATTTCACTGAGGAGGGCCCTGTGATTCTGGCCACCGGTGGCTTTGGCGCCGACTTCACGGATGATTCCCTGTTGGCCAAGTATCGCCCAGACCTGTTGCACCTGCCTACCACCAATGGTGACCACACCACTGGTGATGGCATCAAGATGGGTGAGGCCATCGGTGCTCGCAGCATCGACTTGGAATGGGTTCAGGTTCACCCCACTGGCCTCGTGGAGCCCGACGATCCCGAGGCCAAGATCAAGTTCCTGGCGGCCGAGGCCCTGCGCGGCGTGGGTGGCCTGGTGATCAACGCGGATGGCGAGCGCTTCTGCAACGAGCTGGGACGACGTGACTACGTCACCGGCGAAATGTGGAAGTCAAAACCCCCTTTTAGCAACTGGGTGTGGATTGGACATAATACACAATTCGATTCATTCTTTCTTTGTATCCCAAGAATAAGAAGATGATCCCAAGTGACAAGCATATAATTGCAATATAAGAATTTATATGAATTAATATATAATAATTGTCAAAGGGAACACGGTAAGATTGTATATGTACTGAACGCCCATTTTGGCTCAAGAACCCCGCGAAGGTAAAAGGGATCGATCGCTGCTTGCTATGTTTGGACGGGTCCGGTGATAACCAGCTGAGCAGGTACTGTCTAAGCATCAACATTGATATCCGGAACAAGGATCAAATTGTTCACAGGTTATCAGCCGTAGAGGGCTCACTTCTTCCGTCGGAAGAGGAGTACCTGCGTGCTGGTAGCCGGGCCGTCTGAGTTTAAGATTGTGGACGCAAAGGACCAATCAGCTCATCATCGCAAAGATGCAGGGCGGCAGCGGAGACTCGCGCAACACGCAATTTACCTTCAATGAGAACACTGCCATGCCGGTCGAGGAGGTCACTCAATCTTCCCCTGGCGACACGGCAGACAGTGGTGGGATACGCTCTACCCGAACTACACAGTCCGGATGGCAAGTTACATCAAACAGACGAAGAATATCCACCCAAAGTACACCAAGATCTTCTCGAAACAGTGCTCGAAGTGATGTTGTCCGTCAAGGGCATCGACCATCTCGAGGACGAACTACCCCAAGGGACAGATCCACCAGGGCCGGAACCGACCGAATTGGTGAGAGGACCGGGGACACTCGTGTTAAGAGGAGATCAACGGATACTTCTGTGGCTAGTGAACCTATTGCCATGATAGAAGAACTACGGACACAATGTCAATCCTTACGTAATCAGTTGAACAACATGGAAGCATATGCTGCATCAAGAGATCAACTGATTCATGACATCGAGATCAGATTCACTGAGTATCTTCGGGAACACAACCAGAATGTGATTGATGAGGTCAATGCACTCAATCATAGATTGTTATGTTCCGCAAATGAGGTTGCAGAGTATCAAGCAGAACTAATGGTAGCATCTCAGGAAGACGAAGGTGCAACAATACGCATCCAAGACCTTGAGCGCCGAGGTGCCCTGATGGAACACGGTGCAAGACGGATTCATCAACGTGGTATGGAGATCCAGGAAGAGTACAAGGATGAAGTACATCACCTTCAAGGACTATTGGGTAATACGGAGGCAAGACTGCAACAACTTCATCAGACCAATGTCTTAACTACCGATATTGCCAACAGATTGTACACTAAAGGTCAAGAAATGCAGACTGTTTTCCAGAACTCAATCATGGAATATCGTAATCGATCCGAAATGGCATCCTTCTCAAGCAATCAACTTGAATTGATAAGCCAACAACAATCAGTTGCAGTTCATGAATTGTCTGAACGGAACCAGCTATTGAGTGAAGCTCTAGTTCAATCTCGTAAACAGGCCGACTTGTATGAAAGCAGTATTGAAGAGATCACTAGAGAATCTAGAAAGAAGGTTTTCGAGGCAAATCAGGCCAAATTGGAAAGTGATCTGAAGCATCGAAATACTGAACATGATACTGTCAGAAGAATTGCATCATACAGGAATCACGAGGCCGAAGCAATATCACACCTGAGGCTTGAATCACAAGCTAGTGCAAATGCGATCGCAAGGGCAGAGCACTATGAAGAGCTCTACGCCAACGAGCAGGAGATGAACTGTGAATTGAAGGATGAGATCAAATTGCAGAACGTGAAGTTGCGAAGATCATTGACTCAGGGCACTACGACCGACGGTCGTGGCCCTGATGAGATGCTTGTTGAAGATCTACGGAACCAAGCCAAAATCGCTCAAATCAGGGTTCAGGATCTAGACCATGAAGTTCATGAATGTTTACAGGAGAACATATTGTTAAAAGAAAGGTTGACTGAAGTTGCGGATGTAGGGGCGTCGTCCTTCTCCAATGCTGAAGTCCGAACTTTAAGATCTGAACTAGAAAGTGAGCGCAAAATGAAATTGGCTAGTGGTGTTCAGCAATATGAGAGATCATGCCTGTTCATGGGGGAAATTCAGGATAGGGATGAAAAGATTGGCATCAAGAATTCTGAGATTATTGACATGAAACGTCATATAGACGAGCTGAGAAACAATCTCAAGGATTCTGAAACATCTATGTCCAGGGTCAACCCTGATGCGCTTCCCTATTCGGCAGGTATCCCCAACTATGATCTCGCATCAAGACTGGTCATCGACAAACTGGAGAATGAGATGAGTGAGGCCAACTCTGAGAACGCTATCCTAAAATCTTGGGTATCGCAGATCGACAAGGAGTTGACCTACGAAACAAATGCTGCTCAATCTTATCGCGGACATGCTGGATCTTCTCAACAGCAACCCTCTCAATCGAATAAAAGAATCACCGATCTGCTGAAAGAAGTTGACAACAAGATCGCCGATGGAACTGAGAAGGACTATTACAAGCCTCCGAGCGGATGGGGCGGTCCGCCTGACCCTGATGGGCCTCCTGATCCTTTCGGGCCCAACGGTCCAGGACCACCTCCAGAACCTCCAGGATTGCCTTCAGTTCGGGGATCACAACGTGATTCAGCAGATGATGTCTCCACAGCGGCGTACACGGCAGAAGAAGTACCGAGAATGTCGAGACGGGAGGCTGACAAAGTCTATGTTAGCCCATGGCCGAAGCAGCAAAACCTTGGGGTTTGGCAGTCAGATCTCATCAAGGGTGTTGTTCTTGCCGCGAATGATGGAGACAAAGCTGCATGGGAAAGCATGGCTACAGCCGGCTATTCGACCAAATCCTGACATCGAGCTACTGAATGACAGTGGTGGTCAACGATATCAGTCAATTGACGCTAAGTTGTCAATCGCATTGTCGAACGTGATAGCCCAAGCCGGTGATGTTGCTCGTCATGTGGCAATTAAACTGAGATTGAGAACACAGAGTCATAGTCGAAGAGGGACCTGCGTTATGGGACGAGAAATTTTGGCTATGATTCTGGAACACTTCAGGACGCCAGGTCAACGAGAGACAGCCTTCACCATGGAGCACATCGTATCGATGAAGTATCTCGGTGACTCCAACCTGGAAGTGTTCTACGAGAAGTGGATGGAGATGGTGTCAAACATGATGCCGGATGATGTACCTCCTGATGATTGGCTTCGTGATGCTTTGTACAAGAAGATTCGAAATTCGAGTCTCATGATGTTCGACATCAAGCAGTACGAATCATGGGTTGAAGGAGATCAAAGACGAAGCTATCGTTACCTGTTGGACGTCATCGAAAGGCACATATCCAGGATCAGAGAAGACAAGCATGTGGCCGCCAGAGAGAAGTACGCAAGAGAGTTTGCAGGTGGCGGCAAACCCACCACTCCTGCACCAAATCCAACTGCCGCTGCACCAGATGCCAATCCGAAGGCGAAGGCTAAAGCCACTCCCAAGGAGAAGGCAGCACCTAAGGCGAAGGCCAAGGCTGATGCAGCTCCAGTTCTACCATCACCTCAGCCGAAACAGCATGCAAAAGGAAAAGGGAAAGGTCAAGGGAAAGGAAATGGACGACCAAACAGCCGAAGCGCCAGTCCTAGATCCAAGAAGAAGATCCCATGTCATTTCCACTTCATCAAGAAAGCATGCAGAAAAGGAAAGGATTGTGAATACAGTCACGACCAAAAGGTGTTTGATGCGAACAAGAACACGAAAGGTAATGGTCGAAAACCAGGAACTCCGAGAAGTCAATCTCCAGCGAACAAGACCAAAAAGATTGATGAACCATGTTGGCACTGGGCCAAGGGAAAGTGCCGATATGGAGACAAATGCAACAAACGCCATGATCCTCATCTATTCAACACTGCTCCAAACACCGAAGCATCAGGCTCAAAGGCTACTCCTGCACTTGTCCATGAATGGAGTGATGACGAAGGGACATTCCACAAGGTTGCATCGAATGTCGTCAAGAAGAAGGTACGCTTCGACGAGTCTAAGACTTGCACTCTGACGTACGTGAAGAAGGACTTCGTGAAGTGTAGCCGGAAATCCCAAACCATCCCCAAAGGTCATGGTAAAGTCGGCAAGCCCACCGATCAGATAAGGCAAGATGAACAATGGTCTTATTCATGCAGACTAGCGTCAAGCCGAGGGAAGGCAATGGCTATCCTGATTGATGAGAAGGGTGAGTACAGTGACATTGATGAAGTCCTAGTCATCGTCGGCCCCAGTCTGGACATTCTGATCAGGTTCGACATCGAGGACGGTGAGGTATCCAGAGAGGTCTTCGTGGAGAACTATGTTCAGCATGTCGAGGGTCGATATGGTAAAAGGGGTAACACAATGTGTATCACTGTTCCTGTTGAAGAAAGAGATAAGAGATTCATATTGGATTCTGGAAGTGGTCATGATCTTATCTCATCAACACGAATAAGTAGAATGGATCTCCCAACATATGATGATAAAGTCGTCAACTTCCATACAGCAAATGGGGTAACATGTTCGACCAAACGATCAAGTATCAAGTTCGAGGCATTCAACGAACCAGCAGAAGCTCACATCCTGGAAGACACTCCTTCCGTAATCTCCATGGGCAAGCGGTGCGTTGACCTTGGCTATTCGTTCGTATGGCCGACTGGGAGAACTCCTTTCATGTTAGATCCCAATGGCAACATCATCGAAATGACTGTCAAAGACTACATTCCTTATGTGAGTGTCGATCAAGAGAAGAGAAAATTAAGATCATCCTGCGTGGAAAAGATCATGGCAGCTCTTGATGATGGTTACTCAACGTCAGAAGGCGAAGGTCTTTTGGTTATTGATGGAGAGAGTGGGGACGAGCTTGAGGATCTTTCCGACGCCGTTGGACGATCCGATGATGAATCTCCCAAGAAATCAATAAAGAAACGTAAGAGAGCAAAGTTGAGAGGCGATCAACATGAAGTGGAAGTGATGCAGGTGATGCTGAGGAAATGTCGTGCTATGCCGATGACTATGCCGA